GTTTAGGACCTGGAGGAGGTGGGCAGCTCCCGGTGCACAGGTGGGCAGGGGTTATTTTGCCACCACAGGCTGCCACTCTCCAGGGCTGGGGACTGCAAATCCCCCACGGTTATGAACCTTCCTTTCCAAAGGGATTAAACAACAAAGCCGCTCATCTCCCTCAGAGGGAGCCTGGCCAGGGGCAGCCACCAGGCAGGGTCAGGAGGCCGGAAAATCAAAGCATGAGACATGTCCTATTTCCTGCTGTAGCTTTTCCCTTCCTCAGCTCCTCCTTATCACATTACAGCAGCCACAGCTCCAGGCATCACATCACAGGCACAGTGAGGGAGAAGGCAGCTGTGGCTCTTCTTGCCCATTTCTTGCTTGTCATCAGGGAGGTCTCACTGGGTCTGAGTTCTGCCATCCTGTCCTGCATCTTCATGATGAACAAGCAATGCCAGGACCTCAGAGTCCTCCTGTGGACTCCACATGGCAGTCGGTGAGGCTGGGAAACAGGCTCTTTCCCAGGGTCACCATGCGAGGCCTGGTCAGCCCAACCTAGGCTGCTCCCTGAGCCCATGCTCCGGAGGGAGGGGCTGGAGGCCACTCCAAGCGTGCCCCACGCAGTGTGTGGACTGATGGAGGGAGGCAGGCGAGATGTGGTGAGGCCTGGCTTCCAAGGCAGGGCTGGGCCAGGCAGGTGCAGGTCCCTGGGGGCGGTCAGGGGGCAGAGACATCAGCACAAGCCTAGGGAGTCGGGGTCAGGGCAGGCGCACGGCAGGATCCCCGCTTCATTCCACTCCCCTGGGCACCCTGGCCCTGCCGGCCTCCCTCGGGGCTGTGGGACCTAGCTACGCCCAATCCATCGCCCATCGATTGCCATGGACTCCGTCTGTGGCTGTGAGTCCTGACGAGACAGATCGGTTTCTGGAAGCCACCAGGGAGGGGCAGGGAGAAGAGCAGACCTTGCTTTTCCTGTCTTGTCTTTTAAAAAATGAAATTTCCAATAAACCCAAGGGATAAATCTTCAGCCGAGCTGGAAGGAAACAGGCGCTGTTGGTGCTGCCACCAGGCAGGTGCTGCAGCCTCGCTGCGTACCCTGGACTGCGCCAAGCCTTTGACACCTGTGGGCACTGCTGGGGGGCAAAGAGGACCAAGGTGCACGTGACCCTTGCCTGCCCTGGCCTGCTCTGCCCACAGGGGAAACTGAGGGCACAGGGCAGGAGGTGCACCCACATGGAGGCAGCCCAGAAGGACATGCTGGACGTGGAACCCCAGGTCGGCAGAGGAAGCTGCCAGGAGAGGCCTCGTCCTTGTTCCCTGGACCCACAGCACACCCAGCAGCCAGGCCCCAGCAGGGCTGAGGCTGGCTGGGGGACAGGCACCACTCAGCTCCCCGAAATGCCTTGTGAACCCAGGCCTTCAGCATGCCCTGATTTAGCTCTTTCTAGCAGCTGTGAATGGGGACTCAGCACAGATGGAAGGGGCACACAGCACCCCAAAAACCCACTACTGAAGACACAGTCACTAAGGTGGCACTGCCTGGCCAGCATGCAGGAGGGGCCAAGGGCCCAGCTGGGCTGAGCAGTGTGGCTTCCCGAGAAAGGGACCTCGGGCTACCATTCTGGAAGGAAGAGGGCCTCAGGAACAGACAGGGAGGCAAAGGTCTCCAGGCCACAAGGCAGCAGATGCCAATGCCCAGGGGCCATGTGAGCAAGGGCAAGTGGCCCCTGCCTGACTGAGAGGTGGGTCATCCAAGAGCAGGGTGGAGGGCAGAGCCTCTGGGAAGGATGGGGCACTGCAGCCTGTGCAGCACAGGTCTGCCCTGCAGCTCGGGTCCGCCAGGCCTCAGGCCTCTGTGCACACACATGTGTGTGTGCTGCCCTGTGGGAGTGGGCTGTGCATGGAGACACACAGGTGCACACAGCCATGGGTATGCATGTGTGCAAAGCACAAATCTGCACAAGTGTGTATTTGTGCACAAGCATGTGCCCAGCATGTGTTCATGATTATATGCATAAAGGTGTGCATGTCTGGCTCTAGGTTCCCATCCTATGTGTGTGTAAGAATGTCAGTATGTGTGTTCACATGTGAAAGATGCTTGTGTATCCTGTGTGAACAAGTGCAGGCCTGAGTGGGTGTGTGCATAATTATATGTGTCCTGCTGGGTAAATTGTGGATACATGACACAGGAGGTGTGTGCAAGCATGAACACAGTGTGCAGGCGCAGATGTGGGCATGCAAGGATGTGTGCATATGGGTGGGTGTGCAAGAGGAGCGTGTGCCCGAATCAGTGTACATGCATGCATGCGAGTACATGTATGTGCCCAGATGTTCAGGCCTGCATGCACAGGAAGTGTAAGTGCACACATGGAAAGTGCACTCCTGTGTGGGTGGGTGTCTGGATACATGTGTGCAGGTATGCATGTGGGCGTGCATGTGTGTGGAGGAGGTGCACGTGTGTGTGCACGCGTACCTGTGTGTGCAGCAAGGTGGTTTGAGGCGACGAGTTCCCTCAGCCCACGCTGAGGCTGCTCAGAAGCGCGCAGCACTGCATCCTCAGTGCCTTGGAGGTGAGAGCGTCCCCATCCTTGCAGGGCAGCTCCTGGCCTGGCACCACACCCGGGCACAGCATCTGAGGCCCCTGGCTGTGTGACTGCGCTGGGCCGAGCTGCCCTCCGGGCCTCACCTCCTGGGTGAGATAAACTGCACCTCTGCAGCCCCAGGGTGCTCTCGTCTGCACAGCTCCTGCGTGATGCACCCACCCCCTCCTTTGAGCCCCCATCAGCGTGCCAGACACACCCACTGCTACCACCAGAGCAGCCTGGCTTCTCACAGTGCAGTCCCGCCATCCTGCCTCTCACGCAGGCCTAGGCTGGCCACAGCCTCTTGGGGAAAAGCATCTTCCCGGGCTGTCCTGTTTGCTTGGTGCAGGATCATCAGAAGCAGCCTGGCAGGCCTTGCGCTCTGTGTCTGGGCAAAAGGCTGCACGCTCTGCTGCCAACAGCTGCACTCCCTGGGGCCTCAGTACCAGAGTTCTGCATGCATTGTCAGAGCTTGGGCCTGCGCTCCCTGACCGGTGGACTGGGGTACAGTGGCACCAGTCATCTCACACCCTTGGCTTCGAGGCCTAGCCCGCAGTAAGGCCAGAGCTCAGGTTGCAGCACCACAACATACAGCCAGTTGTCCCTCCCCACCAGCCCGGGCCACATGCTGGCTGGGCACTCCAGATGCCTTCGGCCACCAAGGCCTGCAGAGCAGCTCATGGGCAGTGAGAAGTCTTGTTGGCTCCTTGTTCCTGTGGCCGGGCTGCCATCACCTACAAACACGGGAGCTGCAGCTGGAACAGGACTCTGCAGGGACGCCCTGTTGCCCTGTGCGCCCCCTGGAGCGCTGCTACAGAGGCCAGGCCCCTCCTGCTTGGGAGCCCTGGTAGTGGGCCTCGTGCTGGGGCAGTGGTCTCGCCAGCACTTGATCTGACCAACACCACTGCCTTGTCCGACCCCTCCTCTGGCCGGCCCCATCCCAGAGCATCCTTCTTGGCATCACCGGGCTCCTTGTGCCCAAGTGCTGCACTTTCACCATCTCCTGCAGTCCTCCATGCAGTCCTGGGCTCCCTGGAACCCGGCTCCAGTGTGACAGTGATGGAGGATGTCAAGTGTGGGTCTTCCGCCCAAAACAGGTGCCCTGACTGGTGACATCTATTTATTAGGCCTCCAGCACTCAAGTGACATTTAACCCTCATATGACAGCCCAGTGCTTTGCTTCCTGAGCCTCTAAACATCCAGGCCAGGCACGGGACACTTCATCCCCAAGTGCACCCTGCCTTGGGCAGGCCCCAGTGAGGGCTGTGTGGGTGACAAACAGCGAACCAGGAGGCCAGAGCTCCACAGTGACACCTGCTGAGCTGGCTCTGTCCCTGAGTAAGGCTCTCCAGCCTCACAAGAAAATTCCAGGCCAAGGAATGCAAGCAATCATCCTCCTGGAGCCCAGAGGCATGGCATCCCCAGACCAGGCTCACTGCTGGGTCTCATACATAGTGCTGGGGCAAGTCACCCCAAGCCCTCCCATGAGGTCAAGCACCCATCTCCCAGCAGGGGAAGGGAAGCCCCCCCCCCCAGACATGCAGCAGAGGCCCCTGGTCAGCTGGGCGGGCTCCTAGACTGTGGGGGGAGACCTAGGAACTCCAGCTGAACCCCTCCTGCCGCCTCCTCCCTGCAGGTCTCTCCTCCACTGAGGGGCCAACATCCAGCGCCCAGGCCAGCCATAGAGCGACAGCTCCTAAACAGATGCATAGGGCTGGGTGGGGGAAGGGGCCACCCACCAGTGGCTCTCCTTTGCACCCACTCCAAAGCTGCCAGGTTTGGGGTATGTTGGAGGCGGTGATTATGAACACCCCCACCCCACCCCACCGCCTTTAAAAGGGTCACGCAGCGGAAGAATTGAACTTCAAATATCGCCAACATGGGTGCAGCGCTTGGGAGCCCGCCCGGGACTGCACAGGCACCGTCGTTATGATTCATGCTACAGCAGCGCTGGGAAGCAGCGAGCAGAGGAGGAATCCGAGGCTGGTGGAGGGGGCGGCTCCACAGGGGAGCACAGACCCTAGGCTCCGCGGGGCCAGTGTGCGCCTGGATGTGCCGCCTGCTTCTCGGGGCTGCAAGCCGCTTGCCCTACAGTCTGGCCTGGGACCCCGAGCCAGCCGTGCTGCGCGCCGCTGTGCGCGCCCGTTGTGCCCGGGGGAGGCGAGGCGCTTTCCGTCTTAGAAAGAGCAGGCTTCTAGAACTCACCACCCAGGTCAGCCGGCGCTCAGCCCAGCCCGGCAGGCTGCAGCCGGCCCTGGAGAGGGCGCCCTCGTCGAGCGCGTTCCCTGCGCCGCCGCCCCGGACTCCTCCCCGGCGCCGCGCCATCAGGTTCGCCGCCGAGGCGGCCGCGGGCTCCGGCTGCGGGCCCGCTCCCCCCCGGGGCGGCGGCGCGGGCCTGCCCGGCGCCCCGCCCCGCCCCGCGCGCCCTCCCCGCTGCGCAACTCGACCCAAGTTGGAAGCCAAGCCCGGGCGGCTGCACTCGCGGCGAGCGCACAGCAGCGGCGGCTAAGGAGGAGCTAGAGGAGGCTGCGGCGAAGCGCTGGCGAGCGAGGCAGGCGAGGCGGCGCCCGTGCCCCGGAGCAGCGGGAGGACTCGCGGCGGCAGCGCCGCCGGCGCCCGGGCCGGGAAAGTAAAGTTGGAGCTCGAGGCTGCGCGCGGGCGCGGGGGCCCGGAGGAGCGGCAGCCCGCGCCCCGGCGCGCCGAGCTTTAGCCGGCCGGATGGGAGGCGGAGCGCCTGGGCCGCCGCCGCCACTTGCAGCCTGCGCCCGAGTCGGGCGTGGGGACCGTGGAGCCGCCCGGGCGCGTCCGCTGGGGCACCGCGTCAACGTGGGCTCGCTGCTGGGGCGCTCTTCGTGAGCGGGGCCGCGTGGGGACCCCAGGACCTTACCCCCTTCCCCCAGCCGCCGCGTCGCCGCTAGCACCAGGAGCCTCCGGCTGTGCACTCGCGCGCGCGCGGCAGCGGCAGGGAGCCCGGCAGCCACGCTCTCCGGCGCACCGCCCGCTGGGCTACTAAGGCCGAAGGCCAGCTGCGGGGCCATGCAGGCACCGGCCCGGGCTGGGGAGCGCCCGAGCTGCAGCGGCAGCTGCGTCCCGGCCCCGGGCGGGACCGCTTAGCTTACGGGAGGACCATGGCGTCCCCGGCGCTGGCCGCTGCGCTGCTGGCAGCGGAGGGCCCCAACGCGAGCGGCGCTGGCGAGGGGGGCGGCGGCGTCAACGCCTCGGGGGCCGTCTGGGGGCCACCGCCCAGCCAGTACTCGGCGGGGGCGGTGGCAGGGCTGGCGGCAGTGGTGGGTTTCCTCATCGTCTTCACCGTGGTGGGCAACGTGCTGGTGGTCATCGCCGTGCTCACCAGCCGGGCGCTGCGCGCACCGCAAAACCTCTTCCTGGTGTCTCTGGCCTCGGCCGACATCCTGGTGGCCACGCTGGTCATGCCCTTCTCGCTGGCCAACGAGCTTATGGCCTACTGGTACTTCGGGCAGGTGTGGTGCGGAGTGTACCTGGCGCTGGACGTGCTCTTCTGCACTTCGTCCATCGTGCACCTGTGCGCCATCAGCCTGGACCGCTACTGGTCGGTGACGCAGGCTGTCGAGTACAACCTGAAGCGCACACCACGCCGAGTCAAGGCCACCATCGTGGCTGTGTGGCTCATCTCGGCCATCATCTCCTTCCCGCCACTTGTCTCCTTCTACCGCCAGCCCGATGGCGCCGCCTACCCGCAGTGCGGCCTCAACGACGAGACCTGGTACATCCTGTCTTCCTGCATCGGCTCCTTCTTCGCGCCCTGCCTCATCATGGGCCTGGTCTATGCGCGCATCTACCGCGTGGCCAAGCTGCGCACGCGCACGCTCAGTGAGAAGCGCGGGCCCGCGGGCCCGGAGGGCGAGTCCCCGACCACGGAGAACGGGCTGGGCGCGGCAGCGGCGGCGGCCGCGGGAGAGAACGGGCACTGCGCGCCCCCGCGCGCCGACGTGGAGCCGGACGAGAGCAGCGCGGCCGAGAGGAGGCGGCGACGAGGTGCGCTGCGGCGGGGCGCACGGCAGCGCGAGGCAGGTGTGGAAGCTCCAGGGCCTGGCTTGGGGTCCGCAGCGGCCGACCCGGGAGCCCTGTCAGCGTCCCGGTCCCCGGGCCCCGGCGGGCGCCTGTCGCGTGCCAGCTCACGTTCCGTCGAGTTCTTCCTGTCGCGCCGGCGCCGGGCGCGCAGCAGCGTGTGCCGCCGCAAGGTGGCCCAGGCTCGGGAGAAGCGCTTCACCTTCGTGCTGGCCGTGGTCATGGGCGTGTTCGTGCTGTGCTGGTTCCCGTTCTTCTTCAGCTACAGCCTGTACGGCATCTGCCGCGAGGCCTGCCAGCTGCCCACCCCGCTCTTCAAGTTCTTCTTCTGGATCGGCTACTGCAACAGCTCTCTCAACCCAGTCATCTACACAGTCTTCAACCAGGACTTCCGGCGCTCCTTCAAGCACATCCTCTTCCGACGGAGGCGCAGGGGCTTCCGCCAGTGATGGGTGTCCTGGCCCAGCTGGCGCAGGGGCCAAGTGGCCTCCCCAGAGGAGGCCAGAGACCCGGGGACAGAGGAGCCTGTGGGGCGCAGGGGAGGGTGAGCTGGTGCTGCCTCCAGGGAGTGGGGAGGAGAGAGGGGTCACCCCTTTGCCTCCCTCGCAGCAGGGGCCTACTTCTGGGCTCCTGGAGGGGCCCTGCGGAATGGCTGTGAAGTCGGTGTGACACCCACCGAGAGGGCTCGGCCCCCACCTGGGTGAGAAAGGGTTAATGTCTCTCCAACACACACATTACCCAGTGACCCCGCTGAACAAGGGCTGACTTCTCTGGCACCAGGGCGATTTGGAAGGAACTGACAATCTTTGATTACTGAAAGTATTTAGATGTTTGCCAAAACAACAAAACTATTTTCTAAATAAACCTTTGTAACCTAAGTGTTGGGAGCAGCCATCTGTCCTTCACACCTGGGTGGGGTGGCCTCCAGACCTTCACTCTGCCTCATCTGCCCTCCATGAGTTCAGGGAGTTCTGGGGGCCCCTGGGCTCCTGTGTGGGACAAGGGGTCTTGCACACATGCGGAGCACACTCAGGATTCTTCACCGTGAGAGGCTAAGAAGTGGAGGAATGCAGGAGCTGACTCCAAGTTCAAAACTGGGGGACTGACCCCTGCACTCCCTGTCCTGCCCCTGCCCATGCAGGCACCTGCCACGGTGGGGGAGGGGTTTTCCAAGTCCAAGCCTAGCCCCCAGGCTCTGAGCCTTTTCTGGCTGGCTGTTCAAAGGAAGCTGGGTGGGGTGACCCTTGCTGTCTCTCTTGTCTAGACTGCAGGCAGGCAGGAGACCTGTGCTCACCCGTTCAAGGGCCACCTGTTGGGATTTCTGAGGCCCTGAGCAGGGAGGTTGTACCCACAGTGATGGGAAGCAGCTGGAGCCCATGCCTGTGCCCTGGGACACCTCAGCAACGTGCTGCTGGGTGCTCAGCTGGCCAGGACTGCACGGGCTCCTCTAGCCCTGCTTTGGAGCCTGGCTGCACCTGAGGTAGCTGAGTGCAGGGCTGGAAGCCACAGCGGGCACAGCAAGGGTTCGAGGTCCCTGTGAGCACACCTCTAGCTCCAGCGGGGCTCCTCCTGCTCTGCCCTGGGCCCCCAAGTCTCCTGGGCCTCCAGGGTGTGTCTTGCCTGAGTGTGTCTCAGAGTCTGTGCTGGGGAGGGCTCGGCCCTCAGTCCTCAGGGCCTCAGAATTTCGTCTCCAGACCCTGCAGCTTGCAGCTTGCAGGGGGGGGGTCCAAACTGCAGCCAGATGTGGCGGCAACCCACAAGCCCAGCCCACGCCAGCCTTTGCCTTGAGAGGAATGACCCTTTGAGAGCCGTTTCGGGTACCCAGAGAGATGAATCAGGCTGCCTAGGGTGGCAGCTGGTGAGAAGTTCCAGCCAGGCCTCAGGCCTCTGGCTCGGATTTCAGTGGTAACCACATGGTGCAGCAAGCATGTTTCCCCCACCCGTCTCCCAAGGTCACAGGGAATGGGTCACTTTGGGCGGCAGAGGAGGGCACCTCGGGCAGGCACCAGAGGTGAGAAGGTGCAGGTGCGCTTTAGAAATTGGGGCCATGCTTGTGGCAGGGTAGAGCCCTGCACTACTTACGGCAGGAGGGCTTGGGGCTGGGTGCCTGGCTGCCTGGCTGCCGAGGGACGGGGAGCCATCCTGGCTAGGGTATGCCCATATTGTAGCTGGCACCAGGTCAGCATGTCTGGGTTTCTTTGCACCCCAAGATCTGCAAGGGAAATGCATTTGCACTGGCCAGAGCTGTGTAGCCCCGAGCTATCACCTTGGTGCAGGACAGAGACTCATGCGGGGGAGTCATAGCCACCTCTTCCTCTCTTTCCAGACTTGGAGCTGCCCTTGCCTGACATGCAGGGACCGCTAAGTATGTGTCCTCAAGGTGGTCACCACTCACACACAGGGCTGCAGCGCTGGAGGCCTCAGTCCCCAGGGAACAGACAGAAGCCTAATTCCTTCCTGCCTGCTGTGGGGACCGCTGGTTGCCTTGGTCACCTTGCTGCTCCTCCAGGTCTCCCTGAATGATGTGGGTCCTGGCATTGCTCAGAGGGTGCTGAGCACTCCCCCCAGGACGCCATCTCTGGAGCATGGATGAGTGCTGGGTGTTCTGCCCCGGTCTTGCTGGCCAGCAGGTCTGGCCACTTCTGTGGTGGCCTCATCTTTGTGGATCCAGCCTCTCCGTTTACCTAGCCAGGGTTGTCAGACTCTGTCTTGGTCCAGGAAACCAAAGCTTAGAGGTGACTGTGTGGGTTTGGGGGTACAAACCATGAACTCAGGAGCAGGGTCTGGAGATGTGGGCCCCAGTGCTGGGCTTTGAGGGGTCCTTGCACCTGGCCCAGGCTGCATGTGACTCATTCCCACTGGTGCCCGTGTAGATTCTGCCCTGGCCTCTGGGGCTGAGCCCCAAATGTTCTCCTAACAGCTGGGCCTGGAATAAATAGAAATTATTCCTGAGTGCAGGGCAGTGGCAGGGACTGAAGACATAGCTCCGTCTGGAGCTGCCCCGGGCTGTGGGGGTGGTCTAGGGGGGCACGTTGCTGTGACTCTGGCTGGTGAGGAAGCCACCCTTCCAAAGCTGCCAGCAGTGGCTGTATTTTTATATCACATCCATCTGCAGGGCTGAGGTATTTCAGCACATCGGATCAGAACACGTGGCACCTGGAGGCCCATCTTGAGTCTGCCTGGCAGCCTCAGCCTCTGTGGGAACTGAGACCCCAACTCCACTGGCCCATGGGGTCCCCTACACATGGGTGCCGTATTGCTGGCACGGTGGGCACCTGCTGTGTCTCTGTCTGTCACTCCCTGTGTCAGGGGAGACCTGAGGGTGTGCTGTGGGTGTGTGCTGCAGGCTGGCTGGTCCGGGTGTTTGGGGTGCTGGGCATGGATTTTCTGGGCAAGGGGCATGTGTCCTGCCATGTTCCTTCCAACAGCCAGGCCCCCTCCGTCTCCCACCCTGTGCACATCCTAACCCTAAGGCTGCACATTCTTGCCCACTGGGTGCCAGAGGGTCAGGGGCCTTGCAGTGGGCACAGTGCCATCCTCTGAAGTCCTCTTGGGAAGCAGAGTCAGCTGCAGGCTGGGCCAAAAGAAAGCCTTGGGGACTAAAAATGTTCTTTCCTGCCAAGAGGATTTGTGGCTGCTCCCAGTAAAAGCCTCAGCACAATAGGGTCATTATGGCTGAGATAAGGAATCAGCCAGGCAGGCCCAGGGGAAACGGGGTGCAGAAATTCCATTAAAGACATCCTGCCCTTAGGTCCAAACACAAAGCATGCCCAGAGCTACCTGGCAGGCAAAGAGAAAAAAGAAACAGGATACGTACCCCCACCCTCTTAGGGATGCTGGGTAGACAGAGCTGGAGACCAGGAGATACTGGGAGTCTACCAGCCCCACAGGGCAGATTATCAGCTCTCAAGTATTTAGGTCGCAGGCTTGTAGGGGTGGGAAGTCCCTGAATGGTAGTCCCCAGGCCAGCTTCAGCCACAGCCTCTAGTAGCTGAAGGAGAAAGGTGCCCTGCCTGGAGTCTAATCGAGGCTGGTCCCTGCCTGCCCCTGCAGCAGCCTGAGCCCAAGGACACAGGGCCAGCCCATCCTTTCCCCTGACTGCAGCACCCGGAACCCAGGGAAACCCAGCCCCCGAAGGGCTTGGCCTCTGGGCCTGGCTGCTTCTGCTCCCTCCTCACCCAGGCCAGGCCGCCCTCCCACTGGCTTCGTCTAGTGGTCAGCCACACCAGAGCCTGACCCAGGGTCACCATCGTCTTGGCTGTCGGCACCAGGCAGAATCCCGGAAGAACCGTCCCTGCCCTTGGAGCAGCAGAGCTGGCCCTCAGGGCTGCCAGGCCCAGGCTGTGTGGGGCAGCTGAGGGCAATACCTTTGTGGGCTGGGGGTTGGTGGGAGTCTGTGCGGCAAGAGGGCCACAGGGCTGCGGCGCTGGCAGCACCAGGGATTTCCCGCTTCATGCGGGGCCCAGCTGCCGAGCGTCTGTTCCTCCTGGTGGGCGGCTTTGCCCGTTTCATCAGCTCTTCACTGACTGTGGCATCTCGGGAAGCAGAGACCTCCATGAGGTTTTAGGAGGAAGCTGGGCTGCTGGGAAGGTGTGGAGGACATGGTCTGGAGGGGCCCCCTGCCTCAGCCTCCCACGGTGCTTGGGATGACAGCCTTCTGCATGGTGGTGCACGTGCAGGGTCAGGACTGCTCAGCCTGGAGCTCTCCTCCCTGCTGGCTCCATCGCCGCGGTGCAGAGATTAAATGTCAGGTCAGGACCAGACGGACTCATGGTGCCAAGGCCTCGAGCGGCCTTCCTGCAGCTGCCCCTCCAATGGGAGCCGGGCCCACGCCCTGCTCACTACGTTGTCGTGGAAACAGTGCCTTTGCCCCCCCCCCCAGGATATAAAATGCCAAGCGATATGGAGAAATAACTCAGTTACTGGCTTCCTACAGTGTGCACCACTGCACACCAAGTTTGAAGGGAAATCTGTCCTCTTTAATTGGCTCCAGTGAAGCCGTTATGCACGATTGATTGTCTTGGCTTCCACGAGGCTTCGGCAGCAGACAAAGCAGCAGCACAGTCTTGCTTTTGATACTGCTCAGCAATCTGAGTGCCCGCCAGCCACTGGGCACCAGCCTGGGAGGTGTGGGCAGGGCCGGTGGCGCTCGGAGGTTGGACCACCTTTGCCCCGCACAGTGGAGGGGGCTCCAGGGGTGGGAGATGGCCACTGGGGGCCATGCTGCCTGGCACATGCTGGGGCATGTCAGGGATTCCTGGTGCCGACAGATAGGGGTGGCCTGGTGACTTCCTGTTCCTTGGCATGGGATGGGGCCCTCCAGGCTGACTTCAGGCTTGCAGAGGTCACAGTAACCAGGCTGGACTGAGCTGACCAGTCTACGCACCGAAGGCGCTTCACAGGTGTTGGGAGAAGTGGCTGCAGGTGTGTCCCTTCTGCTTCTCAAATGGAAAGTGCTCTGTGGGGTGCAGGTGGCCCTGTATTCAGGAGACCAGACCTTGGCGGGGAGCCAGGAAAGTTCCATGTGGAATGGGATGGCTTTTGGGCTTTGTCACAGGACCAGTCCCTACCCGGCTCTGGAGTGGTTCATTTCCCCCCTTACACACCTCCAGTGACGGGGAGCTCACTGCCTCCTGAGCTCATGGAGTTCACACACTCCTGGCCTTGGGGGTTCCCTTTTATTACCTGGGAACCTTCTTCCCTGAGTGCTCCCCAATCTGCCTCAGGTGACAGCCAGGGCAGTTTTAAGGCCAGGGGTCAGGGAGAACATGCCTGTGTTCTGGGGTTTGTGCCAGCCCTGGCTGGGGAGAATGAGCAGGGCCCGTGGGCTCACAGGGCTCAGGGTGCCATCAACCTGGGATCCCTGGAGCTCAGGGTT